GTAAGAGCAGAAACAACTGTGATAAGGCACAGGAGTCTTAACTCCTGTAATGAGAAACACGGGAAGATTGCCTACCGATCCTAGAAAATAAAAGCAGGTTGCGCTATGCTGTCTGCAGGGCAAGAAGCCTGAAGAAACCAATTGCACTGTCAAAGGGCACTGCAAATTTCTTTTGTGTAGCATTGTTCTGGACAGCCTGATCGTCAGGAGCTTGGTGGCAGAGTTTTCCCGTGCCAGTAGCGGCAGCTTGCCAGCTGTGTTTGAGGGAATACTTTCCTTTTGTTCCTAGCATACCACCTGGGCCAGGCCGATGGAGGAACAAGGAGCAGAACATCACATTTCTGCAGCTTTCTCTTATTTAATAGGCATGCAGGGCAAAAAAAGTTATTCAAGATATGCACGTGAAAAGGCCCTGCTGGAAGCAACCTGCCTACGCAAGGACAAGCCACGTCCTACAGAAAAATTCCCATCAACTTCAGTGTGGCACTCACCTAAGCTCCTTAGGGGAGCAAGGTCCACTATCTACGTGTGCAGGTGGGGATTTGCTCCCCTGCACGCAGAGAAAAGGCAGAAGATGGCTTGCACCTTGGACCCAAAGTCAGCGCTGCACAGGCACTACAAAAAGCCAGCCAATTGCTTCTGGATTCAGGAGCAATGGAAGACCACCATAAGCAACTTTCAGCTGGCCTGTTTCACACACGCTAGTGCAAAGTCCAAGAAATAATCTCCTGCAATGCAGGAGATAGAAGGAGACCCAGAGCTGTTCGGGCCCATCAGCAGCTGTCTGGGGTCTGTACAAACTAAGGACAAGAAAGCATCTTTATCCCTCTGCTGCTTCTGAGCAGTGTCTTTTGGCAGAAAAGGGCAACACACAGATAGCTGTGGTCACAGCAAAGGACGGAAAACAGAATGGGGGAAAAAATCATCTTTTTCTGTACGAACTTTAGAAGTAGACTGGAGGAGAAAAAGCTAAATAATTTCTGCAATCTCTGCTAACATACCTAGCGGCATTCCCAGAAGACCAATATTTTTTCCATCAGCAGCAGTTTTTGGAGAGGATGCAAGGCTCTATAAAAACACTGTATCAAAAATCCCTAGAGAGAGGAATGCTGTGTCTCATCACATGTTTAACTCCAGCTCCAAAGGACCAGGTGATATAGTCACTGTACGGCAGGTCAGGTCACGTTTCTCAAATGAAACCTGGCATGTTTCCCTGTGGCAACTTGAGTGTATTTGATTAGGCTGCGGTAGGTGAGTAACATTTGCAAAAGCACCCAAAGACTTTTTCCTACAAGCCTGAAACATATGCGGTTTTTGCACGCTGAAAGCTTCTAAACTCTAATGGAGCTACCACCGGGCAGCTAGGCTGCAGTAGTGGACCACAGGGGTGCTTTCTGTACACGCGGCAGAAACATTATCTTAAAGCTCTTCCATGGAGACGTTTCCCCACCTGTAACAGCCGAAGAGAGCACACAGCCAGTTCCTGGTGGCTCAGCTGGAATGAGGTTTGTCCAAGATATTTTTGGAGAAAGTACCTCTTCTCCCATGGGAGCACAGCTTAGAAACAAGGCTTATCTATGAGCACAGTGGACAGCCAAAAGCTGAGCACAGTGCAAGCATCTCTACCAATCTGAGCAGGTAACACTGTCCGTAACACCGTCAAAAGGCATAGCGCGTGTAGGTCCCGCTGAGCGCACCACAAAGTATAGCCTTCCTGAGCAAGTGATAGGCATCAGCACAGCTCAGAGCACCTTGCAAATTTGGGACTTGAATTATTACAGGCTTTTTTAGTAAGGCAATCTGTGTGTTATCTGCTTTTGACAGGCAGAGAGGAAGGGCGGGCTACAGTTCTCCTTCTGATGTGATGACTAACTTCTGAAGAATGTTCTCCTCAGTTACCTTCACACACTGCTGCTGATGCTAGGTTTAAAAAAAAAAAAAAAAGAAGAAGAAAAAAGTTAAATGCAGATTATTTATTAACTAGTCATCACAACAGGGTATGCCATTCACTTAGAGGCTCCCAGAGGCTCTTCCATGCTTAGCTACTGCCAGTATGATTTTGTGCACTCCACACTGAAGTTAGATAAGCCTGCTTACTCCTTTTCCCCTCCTTTGAAATGAGACATCCAAATTTAACATGAAATGGCCAAATCAGAGTTTAATCTAACTGATTCTTCTTGCTGCCGGACAGCAAGTTCGCTTGCCATAAATGCAATCAGATTTAAACACAATAAAAAATATTACCGCTCAGCTGCCATCCCCTGAAACACCTATTTCTTTTTCTTTTTCTTTTTTTAAGATCATGCTCAATTTAATTTCTCTGGAAGGTAAGGAGGATTAGATAGCAGTGAGGGGTTTAGAAGTGTTGTCTTCCGCCAGGAACAGAGCTCATCCTTTATCAATAGGCTCAGACTCACAAAGATGTCACACAGAATAGGAAATAGTCAATGTCCAGGGTTAATCTCCGTTTGAATAAGGAAAATAAAACCTGCTTGAGGATTTTGCACTAGATGTATCCCTTTGGGAGCGATATGTTTTTCAGGCAACTGATGGCTCTCCCCTTGACTTAACTGGTTTGTGAGTATCTAGAGAGTCTTATCTTCCTGTTCATCTGCCCATTTAGGTCTGGTGCACTTTACAGACTTGTCTTTGATCCTTGGAGACAAGACATTATAATGCTTATAACAGGTTTTGAGAGCAGTAAGGCAAACAGCTCAAAGCCCTTGAAGTATTTAGCGAGACAGAAGTACGTACTTCAGCCTGTCGTTCACTGAGGCTACTGTTTCAAGGAGCAAACCTTCCTTTGGAGGAACCACAGGGCTGTTTACAAGACCAGAAGCCAGCCTTGAGGACAAGGGGAGATGGAGGGCAAGGAGGAGATCGCTCCAGTCAGAAGAGATGAGCTGTGGCAAAACATGTCACGGGACACAGCTGTGCCCAAGCTGTACTGAGTCCACACTGCACATGCATTGGGGATGCAAACCATCACCCCAAGTTTCACCTGGAGGTGCAGCTGGCAAGTGCAGATGGCAGCAGCACAAAGTCCTTCCTAGCATGCTGCTAGGGGGAGATGTGGGCTACAGAGTCAGGCCTTACCCCGTGCTCCCCCTAAGCCCTCCTGAATCCTCTTCCTACCTGCCTGTTGCTTCAGGTGTAAGTAGTGCCCACACTCTGCTACAGGACCGTTTGGGTCTGGGGGTACAACATGGCTTTATCAGTTGATCCCTTTTAAGCAGATCCCATCTCAGGAAGGCTTTCACTTACGGGCTGCTTCCATCTCTCTCTCAAACACAGCATCTGGCCACTGAGGATTTTAAATAGCTCCTTGAGACACTTTGGCATTTTGGTCACTGCCTTTTTTATTCGGTCTTTATAGATGCCCTTCAGAACAAACGCACGGGAACACGCTCCTCCATATGCAGTGCTGAGCCCAGTGTCCAGCCAGCCTGCTGCTGCCTTCAGCGATGGGAGAAAAAAAATCCACATTGCAGAGTGGTGTTTTTCCCTCCCTGAAGACCGAGACAACTTGCCATTTGATGGCAAGAAACCCTAAAAAGCAGCGGCACTGGTGGCATTGCCTGGAGTCTGCAGATTACTGAAAGCCAAGGCAGCCCTATCAGCCACAAATTGGTACTCGCAGGGTAAGGTTACCCGCGCTCTCCTCTAATCTCTGTCTGGCCAGTTAAATGTTTTGCAACCCAGCAGATCCTCAGCCTCTTGACACAGTGCCTGGCCTATAGTTTAGAGCAATCATGGTTTTGGACCACTAAAATGGCTAATCACACCAATCAACATCCGCAAAGAACAGCAGCCTGTCAGAAGAGGTGCGAGCCTCACCTCTTAACACTCACCTTAACATCACCCTCTGTGCTTTTTGCCTTCTCTATCAGATTAGCATGCAGGCTGTTCCCTTTAAAAAGGGGCAAGAACCCAGCTGACTTTGGAAGAAAGCCAGTCTGAGCCTGCCAGCGGAGCACAGGGGAACCAGCAATATCCTCCAGTAATTACAGCCTAAGCGTCTCAAGTTCCCCTGGGCTCCCTTGAGCAGTTCAACCCCATATTTTAATGTACTTACCCTAAATGAACGTGCACGAAGACAGCTCCAGTGATCACCTTAATTGCATTGTAACAAGTGCGAGTCACACCTTTCAGAAACTATCTTCCCATTTTCCACATCGACGCCAAAAGCCAGTCAGGGCTTCTCATAAAGTCTTATTAATTCTACTGCACTATTAGGCTAAGGAAATACATTCACAGGTAACCCGTTGAACATACTAGACAGGATTTCCATGAGTAATGAACGGCTCCAGACTCTTCATAATGTCTTACACCTTCGATCCTCAAAATTCACCATTCTTATTAAACGGAAGCAGTGATATGAAGCACTTCATTTAACTCCAGTCCTCTTTATCCAGGTTACTTACTCATAATTTCATTTTGCATGCTGCATGTTCTTGCACTGCTGCCTGTGCACATCACTGCCAAGAGAAGCTTTTGCTATTTCATAATTAAATTGGCATTTTAAAAACACATAATTTGCTACAACCCAGTTATCTGCTTCTGCAGGAGAGACTGTTAAAAGACAAGAGCTGCAAATCCCTTTGAGACAGTAAGTCTCGTTGTTTCCTTGGCTTATTTCCTAGGAAATGTTGGAAATTGTCCTCGTGAGGATGATTTCTCTTAAGAGACTTCCCAATGGCATCCTAGGGATACTCACAGACAGGATTTTACCCCAGAGGCCTGCAGAAGCCTTTTAGGACATAAGGCAGGCAGGCATTTTAGACAATTTGCAAACACGATCCACAGCTAAACATTAAACTTGCCAATACATAACCGCAGGGCAGAATTTATCACCTAGCTGCGCTGAGCAGCCTGCAGAAGACCTTAAAAATGCACTTCATTTTTGTATATCAAGTAAGGAAACCTCCAACTCCCGTTCCTACTGATCACTCTGAATGCATCGCAGCAAATTAAGATGCCCCAGCAGACCTTGAACTCACCGTCATCAGCTCTTTCTGGAAAGATTTCCTGTCCTTGTTCTCAGTGTTGTTGCAGTCTTCCTTCAGCTTCTCCAAAACGGAGGCCACTCGCTCCGGCTCACTGTCCAGCTCCGCTCGACAGAAAAACGTGAGTGGCAAGTTCAAATACCCCAGTGCATCGGCGAATGACCGCCAGCTGCTGAGGTTCTCCATGAGCAGAGTCCTCACTGAGGCATAAATATAGGTTAGAAATTTGCAAGGTCTCAGAATTTGCTCAAGCAACAGGCTGGTAGTGAGATCAGGCCCAGAGAAGTAGCTGGGCTTGACCTTCCCAACCACAAGCACGTTTTTGGTGTGCACAAGGCCTATTTTCCCCTGGTAGTAGCCAATATACCACTCCTTTGTCCACAGCTGCCCTTTTAACCTGATCTTCTCTTCACTGAGGAGGGCTATGACATCTCCTTTCTTGTACTCCAGCAAATAGTGGTTCTTGTTTTGCCGCACAACAGTTTTCAGCAGTTTGCCATACTTCAAGCTCAACACCGGCCGGTCCTGAAAAACTGGATACTTAGCAGTGGCAGCCAGAGGTGAAAGGATGATCTTTCCAACCTCGTTCTTCTTGAGGAACCGCCTCTGCCCTGTGGGTTTGATGGCACTTTTAGGAGGCGGCTGTGGTGTCTGGACACAGAACTGGGTCAAAATGGCATCCTTGTCATCTTTGACCTGTATTCTCAGCGTGAAGTCCGAGAGCTCGTTGGGGTCGTGAGACGCGATGGGAAAGATAAGGCGGCTGACCTTGCCCAGCTTCATCTGGAAGCCTCGCACAATTTTGGCTTGCTCACTAGCTTTTACCTCGTAGTTGGTCATGTTGGAGAACATGCAGATTTTGAGGTCCTGAGGCCGGGACAAAGTGAACTGATGTTTACCCCAAAGCTGCAGAGCGACGGGAGCAGGATTGTGAGCCTGCCGTGTGACCTCATTCACCAGGAGAGTCTTGGGCGCACATTCATGCCCAAACACAGCCACGACAGTTTTAAAGGAAGGGTGAATGTGTTTTGGGCCGTAGACGCCAACAGTGATCTTCTTGCTGATGTAATCCCAAACAGTATAAGGGTAGAGGATGTTCTGCCCTTGGGCTACGGCTGCGATGTACATGCAAGGCTCCAGATTCTCCAGCTGCACTTGTATTGTGTCCCCATATGAATAGCTCAGCTGCATCGGTGTGTATGGCCCCTCCTTCATGTCGCTCCGCAGACACTGCAATCCCACCAAACTCTTGCTCATGATGTCGTTCTTGACCTCTGCTGACACCTTCATCTCCAGAATGATGAAGGTTTTCACCTCCATATTGCTGAGTTTGATCTGCAGGACTGGGCTGATGGTGCTACATTTGTCACTGTTCAGCTCCAGCGGCGGATCCAGCATCGCTTTCATGGAGATCTGCTGCGTTTCCCCAGGGCACACATGACCCTCTGGCACGTGGATGCTGATGTTGGTGTCTGGAAGCTGAACAGCTCCACCGGAGCTATCCAACTTGCAGACGATGTTGGTCTCCACGGGTTGTGTCTGACCCCAGCCAGGACTTTGACCAAGCAAATCCAAGTCATGGCAAGACCGGGCCAGCTTCCTATGGTTCAGCCATGCCGTCCTAAAATCCTCCCGGCTCTGGAATTGCTCAGGGGTGGGAGACTTCAAACCGCTGAAGAAACCCGATGACATCGGAGTGTCCGACTTCGCTTGAAGAACGGACAGCTCAGACAAACTGTAGGAGCGTTTGCTCCTGAAGAAGGGATTGTCCCGTTTCACGGTCTGTTCCAGCTCCAGCCTGTTTGTGGACGGAAACTCATCGAAAATGTTACCCATGCTGCTATTAGCGGCTGAACTGGAACCTGCTGAAGTAGGAGCTCCTGTGTCAAAGAGCAGCAAGTCAACAGTAGCTTTGGAGTTGGACTCATTATCAGAGCTGGGCACTGTTTGCAAATTCCCATTCAGAAATGGGTTTGTCTGGACGCCATTCAAGAAAGGGTTATTATTGTAGGTTTTGGCAGAGCTTCTTTTCATGTCAGTCCATTCTCCAAGCAGGTCCAACTCCTTGACCCCCTCGTCAGGGCTCTCCAGTAGATTGTCTATCATCCCACTGTCCGTTAAGGAAGAGTTGCGGTAGTTTACGGGCTGGACGTAGGAGGAAGGGATGTAACCCATCTCTGTAGTGTTGTGAGCATACCACCACTCGCCTCCTGATGTGTCTAAGACGTAGAGATGGTCCCCCTTGGAGAACTTCAAAGTGGTGAAATTTGTTGGACAGTAATCTTTGATTGCTATTACTTCTTTCGCATTTCCAAAGGATGTGGGATTGTCAATCAACAAGGCACTAGGGGAAGGCACTGCAAAGTGAAGAAGAAAAACAGCAGGGTAAGCAATCCACAAAAGAGTAACAAGTTATTTACAAGCATTTATTTCAGGTAAGCGACCCATGCTACTTTAACCAGTAAGGCCAAGTTAGTTTTATAGCCTCTCAAGCCTACAGATATATATATATTTTTTTCCCCTCTAAAACTTTTAAACAAAATTTCTCCCTCCGCTGTTTTTGATGCATCCGTACGGTGCCAGAGAGAATATCTTCTTCAAAGAGTTCATAATCCTACAGGACGGGCATCAAAGCAGCTGGGCAGAGCCGCAGGAGCCTAGACAGGAGAGGAAGCAATTTGTTACAGCCCCATAATAGCAACGCAGGTGCAGAAAAAGAAGCTCTCCTCCCGATGCAGTCAAGTGTCTTAGCAACAAGATCACACAGCCTACCCTTTGATTTAGGGTCTCACGCAGCTGCTTCTGCAGGAGAAGACAGTGTCGGACAGCCTCTAAATTCACTGAGAGGTTTTGCACAAAGAGGTGGGTTGGTGAGAGTTTTGAGGGAGCTGGAGTCAATTCTTACTACGACCCCTTTCCACCTGGCATGCCTGGATTTAAGCTCCTAAAAGCAAGTGCTAAAATCACAGGCAGCCCCTTAAATTTTCACATTTAAAACGATGGAAATTACTTTAGGATGTGCTACCTGGGGAAGAGGTTATGTGGCCCAGGTGTTTCTTCATAGCCTTTATCCTACAAATTTGGTCAGTGGTATCTCAATGTCTTTGGCTGCCAATATTTTTTTTTTAAATCACCGCTGTTTTGATGTTTGTGAATAGTTAACCCTGCTGTTGAAGGTGAACACCTGCTTTTCAAGCAGATTGCACAATAACCCAAGGCAACGGTTGCAGGCTAAAAACGTTTTCATCCTGCCATAATCCCTCTCCTGTATGCGTGAAACGTCTTAAAGTTCACCGTAAGAAACAAAGGCACCCACTAAGGATACTTCGTGTCCCCACTTTTTCATGTCACACTAGTCAAAGGCTCAGCATCTCGCTCCCCTTACCCAACACACTAATTTCCAAGCTCCTCAACAAGTATTAACACCATTTGCAAAGAAAGTCATGTAGTTTGAGCCATCAGAAATAGGCATAGCACCCCTCTACCCCAGGACTGTCAAAGACTAAGCAGCTTCTCCAGTTTCCCTTTCAGCATGGTGTTCAGCAGCAAGTCTGGCTGAAAGTCATTTTCCCAATTACAAACGAAGCAGCTCCATAAAGACTACAGATGCTCAAGCTGTCACCATGTTTATTGATTTTGGTCTCACATTAAGGACCTATTTCTTTTAAAAAGCACTAGAAGCAAGCTGCAGATAATGTTATATCAGCATCCAAATATTTGTTATCTTACTAGACAAATCTAAGAAAACAAGACCTAGAGGAAAGAGGTAAAAAGAGCTATATTCTCCCCAATTCAGGGCAGCAAGAACAAAAGGACAACACCTGTTTCAATACGCTTGTTAGCTCTCTGGAGGGAAAAGGGGAATATAAAAATTCACATCGGAAGCCCCTGAAATCCTGGAGACAAGCAGATGACAGAAGAGAGACTGCATCCATAGTCGTTGATTGCAGCATGCACTTTTCAAACACGTAAAATTACACGAAAAAGGACGACACTTGGAAGATAAGGATGCCTGATGGCCTTACAAAACCTGGGAAAATTTGACAAAAAAGTAGACCTTTAACAGCTGTAGAACAGCTCGTGATGCCATTACGGTCTTAAAAAGTAACTGAAGAAACAAGAGCAAAGAAAAGTATTCAAATATAAGGACTTTAGGGCTCCAAGACTGAAAAAGAAGAGTTTGTATACGTACACTTCCCGATCCCTCCCTCTCGCAGAAGGCAACGAAAGTCATGAAGACATTTACTCAATGTAAAATCACATTAAAAAAAAATCTCTATTGAAACCTTCTTGTCACCCTGGTAGGAAGTCACTACGAAACTAGGTACATATCTCAAGCCCTTTGCTTGGGAGAATCACAGCTCAGGGTTACCAGTAAACTTTTATCTGATACCTGATCTCCCAGGGATGCTCTCGGCTGCCATGACCAGTCCGCATGATGCTACTACTCAACAAAGCAAAACCCCACAAAAAAGCAGCATCTGCCCTCGGTATTTCGAAGAGGCTCCTTAGCCGAGGCCTTTTGGCCTTGCCAAGGTCCCATAACGTGTAGCGTTGATGTAAAGTCAAGGTAAAGCCCCAGCTCCTGAGGACGTTAAGTCGCTGCCAGCCAGCGCGATGCCCTCCACGGCGGTTGGCAGCGATGCAGGCTAACTTCCCTGGCCCCACAAGAGGGGCTGGGTGGGCACGCACAGGCCCAAGTCTTGCAAAGGAGCTGCTGCCAGAGTCCTCCTGAGGGAGGAAGGACAGGACACATCCCTCCATGGCAATGCTACCAAAGGCGTCCAGTCCCTGCTTCTAAAAAGCTGGGGCACGATGCTGCGCCTGCACGACTCCAGCCATTTCTCATGGCTTTACTTGGCCTCCTGAAGTGAGAACCGGTCTGAAATCCTCAATACGTTCTGTTCCCCTCCCTCTGTTATTTTAATGGAGACAAAAAGACAGCAACATATTTTTCATCAAAACCGGCAGCGAGTGGCAAGGGCAGAATTTCACAGTCTTTCTCCTTTTAATAACTTTTTTTTTTTTTCCTAAAATTGGCTCTATCTGAAGTTTTTCTTCCATCTGGAAAAAGACAGAACTCCACCTGCCCCCCCTCAAAAATAATTTATAACCCAACTTTGAAACATCTACAGCGAAGAGCTGACAGGTCTCCAACCAGGAGAAGCGCTCGGTTTCAGCTGCAGGCCTGCTTAGAACAAAGATCTGGCTGCTGAAGGTCTGTAAAACCAAGGAGATAGGATTTCACTTCTGGTTTTATCTTCCTTAACAGCTGACAGCCGTTTCCTGGGGGAGGGGGGGGGTGAAAGTGCTCTGCCCTTAGGCCTTATTTTCTGTTTGCAATAAACACAGACCCTCACTCAGCCTTATGAATTAAAGTATTCTCCTTCGTTTAGCTTTATCCCACAGCGGTAACAGCCATGCGCTACCTGAAGAGATAGATAAACTGTAAAATCTGCTGCCTTTCAGTTTCACTGAATATCCCATTGTTCTGATCTTGGGGAAAAAAAAAAAAAAGACAGTAAACAGGAAGGCGTATTATTCATCGCTCCATCTCTCTGAATCAAGTTGCCTTTTATTCGTCTCCCTTGTAAAATAATCCTCTTGTTTTCCCTCTCTCTTTTTCCATCCAGATATCACACGTGCCTCTAAACATACCCAGGTTCATACAGCGTGCAGCTACTAAAGGTGACTTGAACTGAATCAGCAATGCTGCATCCAGCTTTTGAGCACCCTTGTCCACATACGTGCCCAGGCACACGCCACCCGCACGTACGTTCTCGTGCTCTCCTGCATCCCACGCCCCACTCGGGGTTATGCCGCACCAGGGGAAAGCGCGGCCTGTGCTGGCGATGAGCGGGGCGATGTAGAAACCCGGCAGCGCAGATGAGCGCTCAGTGGCTGAGTTTCCACCAAGCCGGGAGATAAAAGGGGCTGCACCAGGCTTGGCGAACACACTACCCCTACCAAATTCCCACAGGCTTTAAGGCAGGAGCTGGTTCAATCAAGGCGTTTCCAAGGTCTGTCACCTCCCTGAAGTATCGAGCAAACTCTGCAGAGCTCTTGGGGATGCAGTTTCCTTCCTCCACCGCAGCACAAAGTGCAGCGATGGAGCGTTTTCGGTCTTCCTGTTACTTTAGAGCAAACGGGTAAAGGACCATCCAACCCCACAAGCGAGAGGAAGCTTGGCCTTAAATCAGACAGCTTAAATATTGTCTCGTGCTTCCTCAACACCCAGAAGGAAGAGGTAAGAAGTGCCAGAAGCAGCCCCGGCCCCCCTCACCTTTGACATCGCTCAAGCTGTTTTCCGAGAGCCCTTCGCTGAGGTCAATGAGCGTCCCCTCCGACTTGCACCGCGGCAGGCCGCTGGAGTTGGCTGCCCGGATCCTCTGAGCTGCCATCTCAAACCGGCCTTGCAGCTAAGGAGCGCTAGGCGGTCATGGCCTTTCCGTGGTGGTGGCAGCAAGCTGCTAGGCTGGCAAGCGCAGGCAAAGCTGGCTACGGAGATCCTGGTGTCACCACGGCACCCTTACAGCCTGATGAGCCAGCCTGCACATGAAAACAAAAGCCAAAACATTAGTGAAGGCCCCAGCACAATACCCTACGCCTTGCGTGGGCGAACCGTGGCCTCCTCGAGCGGGAGGAGAGAACGTAGACTCGCAAGCAAGGCACTGCAACGTATCTTGAACGATGCGAATTAAATGCTTTCCACAGCTTCGACCTCATGTCAACCCGGGGGCAATTTGCTTATCTTTTTGCTTACTTCCCCAGCTGTGCGCTTCCTTTCTCTCTTTATTCGCTTATCGAAAAAGCATTGCTGGTAAAAAGGCGTATCTTCCCATGTGCATGCCAAGCCCACAGTGCTGATTCCAGAAAACTTTCTCACATTCTCCTTAAGGCATCAAGAAAGATCATCTGTGCTACTCCTAGTAAGCAAGGCACCAAAGGCTTTGGATATCGTAGACAGCCTGGTCTTGCATTATGCTTCTGTTCGCTATCCCCCTTGTACAAAACCAGACCTCTTTCCCCTAAGAGTTACTTCAGGGTATCTTGTTCCCTCCCTCATAAACTGGTCCTTCTTCCTATTTAGTAAGAACTGTGAACTTTAGGTTATTTTTACGCTCCTGTAATACATATTTATAAAATGATAAAGTGTTCCCAGATGGGGCCTGAGGCTGTGGGATCCCAGGACAGGGAATACCAAGTCAGCTTGTAGAGGGTTCACGTGACTGGGTTTTGCAAGGCAAACCGGGTCCTGGTTGCCTCCTGCCACAGCATCAGGATCTTCTGGAAGGAGAAGTGGTTCTTCTCGCTTGCTCCTTCCAGTGATCCCAAGTCAGGCGAGAGCTTCACAAGCCCTCTGACACCTGCCTCCTCTGCCTCTCTTTAACCTCCTGTGCCTCGCAGGCAAAAAAAAAAAAAACAAACAAAAAACCCCAAACCTGCCAAGCCCAACATCGCATAGAAACTGCTCGCAAGGTGTCAGTGGAGTGACTGATCTCAGAGGCAACGTATAAATAGTTGGCGTGTGCTGGACTGCAAGCCAGCAGAAGGCGGGCTAACAAAGCAGCCCTTTCCCCAGTGACCCATAACTAACCCATAACGAACAAGAGATGATAGCGGGTCCAGCAGGCTGAGGAGCAGAAGCTGCTAACGCAGAGCACGCATACGCCCGCACTGGCCTCCCCTCCACCCCGGGCCTCACCAGCGAGAGCAGCCGGAGATGCAACCAGCCTTGCACATCCCGCACTGAGGCAAACCTCTTGTCTCTGCAGTGAAGTGGATTTTCCTCTCTGTTTTCTAGCTTCACGCTGCCTTTGAAGACAGCTTGCTCTTTTCCCAGTTTGATTACATCCATCCAACTCAAAACATCAATGGATTTTTGAGGCACTTGGAATGAAGCCAGAAAGTACCTGGGCACGGACCTGCCCAGGTCATAACTCAGAAATCTGCACGACGCTGCTGAAGGGGCCCCGATCTTCCTCCCCTGTAAAGCTGTCACGAGATCCAAGTAACAAGACAACGACAGCAAATACAAAGCAACGCTGCGGCTGCGGGTCGGGGTTCAGGAAGTTCCTTTGCAAACTGCTTGCTCCAGCGGGACACCAGACAGCACAGAGCAGGAAACACCGGCCACAGAGCGATCACATGCTAAGCGCGGCTCTCCGACCATGCTCCAAACACAACCCGTGGCCCCTCCAAAACCACAATGCCGTCATCATCTCAGCTAGCCATTTGGAGGAAGCACTGCAGTGGTATTTTTAGCCGTACCCGTCACATCACATGGCTAGTAGGCTCGAGGTTCGAGGAGCCCAGAGCCGGCAGCTCACAAGAAGTGCTGACGGCTCACGAGAAGAGTCAGCTCCCCCCTGCCTGTACTTGACCCATGGCCCCCACCGCATGCACACACATTTCCCCTTGAGGCTCTCCCAAATCACCTCCCAGCTGCAACTCCGTACGCTAGCTCTGGTACCGTGTAGATACAGGATCCTAAGCCCAAACAGCCCCTCTGCTTGCTACTTGCCAAGTAGACTGGTCCAGCTCATGCTAACACTCATCAGCTCCTGGCAAGAGACAGTAAGGTTACACCTGCCTCTCCAGCGTCTTCCTACAAAGTTTCCAGGCTCATAATAAGTTTCTGCCGGTCACAGATGTCTATTTGCATCGGAGTTTGGGATTAACAAAAGCCATCCAAAGAAAGAGTTGCCCCTCACCCCGGTATGTTTTCAGTTTGGCGCTTGCACTTCTTGCCCCTTCGGCAAAGTCTCTCGGAGCTACCCCTTTGGTGGGCAGGAGCACATCGTCTCCGCGCTGATACCCTCCCTTCCTGCCACGCTGCGCAGGCACATCCACCCACCACTCCAGCTCATTGCAGATGCCCTTCCTAAAGGGCACAAGAATATCATTAAAAATCAAGAACAGGTGGAGAGGGCTAAAACTTCCCCTCTGTTAAGGCCTATCTTGCTTCACTTGAGCTGCTGTGTGGATCCAGTACTGCTACGAGGAGGAGGGATGGTAACAGGGGGAAGGCAAGTTTCTAACAGGATTGTTTTGGAAGGAGAAAAAATACAGCAAAATAGATTTGGGTTTTTGGGTGGGGGGGGTGGTTTGATTTTTTTTTTTTCCAGAAACACTTGCAAAAATGCTCCACAGGGTTAAACACTGTCGAAGAACAGCTGCAGCAGTGCACCAGAGCCAAGAGAAAAATTAACCCATTCTCCACTTGCTTGGTGAACATGCCAGGAGTTTGACCAGCAACATAGCGGCTTGGGGCTCATACAAATGAGACTATGACCTCCTCTTGTGTCACCCACGTGTCCTTTGGAGCTTTGGGGGTGACCAGAAAGGCCAGGGGCCCACGGGTGAGCGGCAGGTCCAGCGCCTCTCTGCTGGCGCAAGGCAAGGCTGCAGCACAGAGCCGCTGCAGTCTGAGCCACATTTTGCTCCTTCAGCTTTTGCACCAGTGAGCAGGTATGAAGTCCAACTCCGTTGCAGGTAATGGACCTGGCACCACCCTGGCTATCATACCTAAAAGCCCATCCAGGTCAGACTCCCTACAGGTGTGCCAATCTCTAGCCTGCCTATAAACTACTAAGAGCCCTTAAAAATAAAGCCCCATGCAATCAAAAGTCATATCTAAATACAAATTCCTTGCCATACTGCATGAATTAAGCAACCCAAAGAGCTTTTAATCTGCTTCTAACATTGTTTTCCCCTTCCCCCACCACTCAGTACAATTTTCTTCTCCTGATTGAAATAAATAACAAGCAGAAAATAAACCCCCAAACCAAATTCCTTAGATGGCAGAGCTTTGCTAGGAATATGACGATAACGGAAATGCGAAGACAAGCACAGTGCTTGGCTGCCAGTTACCCTGGCTGCAGTTCACTGTTATTAAACCAATGGGCATCTCTGTGGGCAACGTGAGCAGGAGCAAGCCCTGAAGTACTGGAGTGCCCTTTTCTGGAAAGCAGTAAAAGAAAATTTGCATTGCAGGAAGGATAGTTCGAGCATGAGATACTTCAGCCTATTTGAGCACTTTTACAAGCCATCCGCAGCTGGTATGTCTGGAATGCAGTTAACTAAGGATGCATGAGGTTTTTGACAGAAGAAGGCAAAGGAGAGCTTCTGTGCAAACACTGTACCCTTTGTGAAAACGTCGTTTCAGGTCCTGCTGAGGGCATTCTGGATGGGGAGGTTTTGGCAAGCACAAGGAACCAGGCTTTGAGTCAAGACTGTGCTTATCGAACAATACGGGCCAGGTAAGATAGGAGATTTGGAGAAAAGCCAAACGTACCCATGTTTGCTGGAAGTTAGGCAAACAAAAGGCCTAACTGTCTTCCTATAGTCCATCAGGAGGCTGTTTGACAAAGAGGTTCCTATAAGCAGTCCTCCTTGTACACCTCTCCTAACCAGGATGAAACCTCTTTACGTAACAAGCGTAACAAGCGTAAAGCTCACCACAGTATTCACAAACCGCTCAAAGAAAATGATAGACAAGTATTCAAAAGCTGCCAAAGACAGATGTCCTCCTGCCAACCCAGGGCCCTGGCTGAGGAACTGTGCTGCATCCTCCCAGAGCGGTTTAAAGGTTTCAGTCCCCTACCTGCCCAGCATGCCCCTTTGCAAAGCACAGACACAGGAGACAAGATGTTATTTCTTATTAATATAAATGACTATCCACAGGCGCCCACCGTTTGGGATTACATATCATCCAGGTGGCATGCAAAGACCCTAATTCTTGCTGTCTCCTGCTACCCCCCAAATTGACCTTTCAGAAACTTGGTAGGATTTTGTAGGGGGTTTTCTTGCTTGCTGTGAAGAAACACTTGCGCCTCCCAAAGTCACAGCCTGGCGGTTGCAGGAGGGTTAAAGCCCGAGATAACCATGCACGAGGTGTGAGTCATCACAGAAAAAGCTCAAGTGGTAACGTTGTTCCAATTTTGGCAATTCTTGCTTGCAATCCTATTTAAAAAAAACCCAACACGCTAACAGCCCAAAATTCATCTTTTTTGGTGAGTATTGCATGACGTTTTACTGATCAAGAAGGAAACCAGTAACAGATTGGTGACCTTCCTGTGAATCAGGGTGCAAGCCATGAATATATTTTTAAACAGCTGCTTGGTAATCCAGTGTCTAATGTATTTGATATCAATAATTATATTTGTATGCTAACAGCTCTCTCAGACATACCCACAAGCCTCAATGCTTACTGTTTGCAGTCACATTCCCTCTTCCAGTATTTGTGTAACTACATGGGAAGCTTTATGTTAAAAGTCTGTGACAGATGTGATTGTGCAGAGAAACATCTGGAAAAATATGTCCCACATGCATCCTAAAGCCTCAAAAGATAGCAAGAGCACACAAAAATCAGTTGTTATGAAAAGACATTTCCTCTCCTTAAAGCAGCATCTCAGTCGTGTCTCAGTTCTGGATATAGCAACGCTATCATGCATATACAAGGATGCCGGTTCATGCACCCCACTACAATTTTAAGCCTGGACTGTGGGGAGTTGGGAGGGGAGCAGCATTTTGGAGCTGACAGTCCCAGGGGCTGGACCCAAGCCCTTTCCAAATGCAGAGCTGGGACAGATAACCAGCAAGAATAAGTCTGCTGCTTCCAGGGCACACCATGCGAGAAGAGAAGGGGAGAGTAAGGAGTAGCATGGCGGGGAACAGGACAGAGATGCACGGGGCAGGATTTGTTTAGAAATTATTTCTGCAGCCAAGGCTGAGAGAAGGGTTTGCAAACTCCTCTGAAAACACTTTAAATATAGAACAGAAAAAAACTCAACAACATCTGTTTACCCAAAGTGATGAACGGCATCCTAAATGGATGAGGGAAAGCAAACAGGCAACGTGTTAGTGAAGACAGCATCACCCCCTGAGCAAGCACGTCCTCCTCTGGCAGCACGTGTGAAGATGAAGTGGGGAGCCCAGAGCAACCAGAGCTCACCCTGGGCGAGCAAGGAGACAGTGTCTCAACATGTAAATCAACTCCATGCGAGTAGCTCAAAAATACCCGCATCCTCTTTTAACGCTAGCTTTTTCCTCCCGTGAGGGAAAGGCAAAGCTGCAGGGGGAAACCAACGAAGGAGGAATTGGATGTCCTCTCCCAGTAGACTCATCCTCCCAAATCCTCCTTGGGACTCACTCATCGCGTCACCCCACCAGGACCCAGACTGCGACTCTCTCCCCACAGCACAGCACAGGGTCTCAGGGTTCGCGTGGGTATTGGCTCTACGTACAGGCAGCCACATTAGCACTTAATCAGTTCAGTGTTACTTGACACAGTGCTCGTTTCACAGTAACATCAGCATGACTGGCTTCTGCAACCAGGAAACAGCCCCCCAAACTTCCAACCACCAGCAGAAATTGGATGCTTGGAGCAAGCTAGGACCCTCGACCCTGGCATCATATGGGGTGACACACAAGTTGTTCTCTCCTCCTCACCCTGTTTGCTAGACTTCTGTTCCTGGGCTGACAACACAAGTCACAGGATTCATATCCTGTGGTTCACTCATAAGGGGATCAACACAGCTATTTTCAACAGGGACCTGCAGAAAAGATTCAACTTTGCATTAACTGGTGCTACTAAAAAGAAAGGGGGGGGGGGGGGGGCGACAAATGTCAACCTAAAGAATACCCCAAATCCTAGCAGTGCTCCTCTCAGCAAATTAAAGCCTGGCACTTCTCAAGGCTAATTATCTCCATGTAAAATTGCTGTTACAAGCACCGGCGATTTGAGGAAAGGCTGGCAGGATTTCCAGGGTCTTGAATCAGCATTTTGTGAATAAAAGCCATACCTGCTCTTGGATCATCTTTACATCAGGAGCTTTCCCAGCACACCCCAGCAAGCATCAGCTGCAGCCCTGCCACGGCGAGCCCTGCTGATATACTGAGAGGGATGCACTGCAGCAGCGAGCGTAGCAGCAAACTTGGGACAGTTTTGCAATGCTCTGGTGGCCCAGATGGAGGAGGACCTGAGTCCCTCGTGGTGGGCCAGCAGCTCTGCATGCCCAAGTCAGCCATTCTGGGCCAATGGATTAACCGCTTCCTCCCCAGTTAGCCTCTGGCTGTTGCTGTGTCTTGGCAGGAGGTTCAGAGCAGCCTCTCGAGGGGCTCAGAGGA